TTAATTGTGTAATATTTTCAACACAATACATGTAGCCCAGGGACTTTCAATCTAACCAATATTAGAATTATTTGATTTTTTTTAAAACATACTGATCCTTAGAATACCTCCACTCTCCCTCACTCATAAAAAAAAAAAAGAAAAAAAACCAAAACTCTTGAAATTGGGGATAAGCATCATTCTTTTAAAATTACTTCCTCTATAGAAATATATGTTTATGTGGATGAAAAAAAGGTAGAAAATGTGTCAGATGGTTTCATGGGCTAAATATGACCGCTTTTGTTAAAAAATGATAAATAGACCAATTTTGATGATTCTTACATCTATCTAGATGTGGACTAATTCATGAGTATAGCAAACAACCAAGAGGTATCTAGGAATAAAACCTTTGCAATCTTCAATAATTTGGCAATTTAAAACACTTAGAGCACAGTTCTAATATGGGATTGTCAGGAATGCTGATCAAATACATAGCAACTAGTAGCAGTGTGATGTGGAAAAAGATCAAATGGCTGATCCTGAGTGTTAAAGAACAGAGTGCTAGAAAGTGACAATAGACATGCTTCGAGTTTGACAGAATTACTTAGATTTCTGATGAGAGTAGTTAACATATTTTAAAAAGACATAAAACGTCATGTTTAAGAGGATCTATGAATTTGAAGTTGTTCATCAACCTTTTCTCCTGCTTGACCTGAAGGACCAGGGTCTCCAGGTGGACCTGCTCGACCTTTCGGACCTTCAGGGCCATCTTCTCCTCTTGGACCCAGTTGACCAACTTCTCCCTGAAACACAGGGTAACAGCAGAGACATGTTTCTCTATTCTTGTTTACTCATTTTTATTTTTGACAGAGACTTCAAAGTACTTGAATTCATCAACTATTTCTTTACTGATCAAGCAACTAAATAAAATCTGTCATTGTACTGTAGAATCAGAACCAAGCCATAGCTGACCCTCCAGTGGATTTTCAGATGTATCTGCTAGATTCAAATCCCATGCCCTCAGGATACTAAAATATGTAAATTATTGTTGCTGCTACTCTGTCCATAGATTTTATGACATTTAAGTGAACAAAGTATTCTAAAATATTGTTCTTATTGCTTATATTTATAAATAGTATTACATTTATAGGTACCTCTTATGGGCTCGTGGTAAGAAACCACAATGTAAGCCCAAAGGCATATGGTTCTAATCTACTAGGAGAGAACAAAACTACTACAGTTGCTCCATGAGAGAACGAGAGGCAATCTCCTCCCGTATTATTTACTGACTCCAAAAATCTGTTGGATGGTTAGCTACAAGACAGTTCTGATTCAACACACAATAACATTATACTTATAGAATAGGTACATTTCCCCAGTTAATTAGTTAATTTGCTTTAGGTGTAGCCAGGAAGCTGCGTTGTAATCATGAAGGTACATGTTTTGAGGCCTCCAGCTGTTTCACAGAAGGATGGACAATCTCCTCCTGTATGATTAACTGCCTCTGAAAACCCACCGGAGGGTCATTTATGGTTCCTTTCTGACTCCACAGTATGCAACAAGAACACACTCCTTACCAGGAAAGAAATATGTTATTACTATACTAAAAGAATAAAAATCCCCATATAATGAGTCTATGAAAGATAAAAACATATAGTTTCCAGTTAGTATAGATTACTACATATGATACAATTTAAAACAAATCAATCAAATTACTTCTTTAAACTTTATCATTTTTTTTTTTGTTGTTGGAAGAGTCTGCTATAAAGGACCTCTCCAGAGTACTGAAGACCAACAATATCAGTCTGGAGACTAAGGTGTGCCTAATCTAGGCCATAGTCTTTGAAATTACTTGTTATGTGTCAAAAAGTGGACAATGACTAAGGATGATAGAGAATTGGTGCCTTTGAGCTGTGATGCTGGAGAAGAGTGCTGAATATACCAGGGACTGCCGGAGAACAAACAAGTTCATCCTGGCGAGGGTGAAACCAGGCTACTCCATGGAGGTAAGGATTCTGAAGCTTCATCTAACATACTTTTGACATATTGCAAGGAGGGACCAGTGCTTGGAGAGCGACATCAAACGTGGAAGGGTGGAGGGACAGCACAAGAGAGGAAGACCCTCAATGAGATGTATTGATTCAATGACTGGGGTAACAGGGATAGGTGTGTCAGAGACAATAAGGTCAGCACAGGATAGAGCAGGGTTCAGGATTATTGTACCTACAATTTCTATGAATCAATAGAGACTCAACAGCACATAACAACAGCAACATAACTGTGTGAATGAACACTTTATACCTATATTTATGTATTGATATGTATAGGATACAGCATAGTAAAATATAAAAAAGATAAATCTAATAATAATTCTAGAAGACCATTGATAACACATTAACTCTAAAAAATTAAACTTCTACTATATATAATGAACCCTAGGAGGGTAAACTTTTCAGTGGTATAAAGTTTTCACATGCCATAATTAAAAAGAAGATGATTACTACTTTTTGTTTACTTACTCTGTCACCTTTAAGGCCCATGTCACCTTTGAATCCTGGAAAACCATCTTCACCCTAAAAAATATATAATAACAATTAGGCAATGGAGAAATAAAAAACACACCCATGTGAAATAAGAACATAGGTAACCCAGGAAAACTGTTACGAAAATATGAATCTTAATTTTAAAACCCTTTTTAAGTGAATAGAAATTTTTTTTCATGGCATCATATACACAGAACATTTAGACTAAAAATGAGTATTACTTGTTTACTTTCTATTTAGCATAGTAAAGAAATCTTGGCTGTGGAAATATTTCATACCATTCTTTCTAAGTGTTCTATTTTAAAAAGTACGTTGTATAAAAATGTTACTATATCTTAATTTCAAGAAAAAGAATTCACCTCCTAAGTACTGATCACTCATGCATGAAATAGCGCTATATGAGCAATAGTCTGTTTAAAATGTGAGGTATTTTAAGTCTAGTAATTAAAACTGAAGGGGCAAATTTTGTAATAATTAGATGGAATGGATATTCAGAGAGGAAAGAGTTGGTCATGATTTTATCTGCAGCATGTGATTTAATGAGTAAATTAATAAAGGTGAGATGAGACTGTTAGAAGTTTAGTTAGTTGTTGTTTGAAAGATTATGACTTGCAGAAGAAAAAAATTGAGTAGGAGAATAGATCGAGGAAGGATGAGTTCATTGCTTCTATTCCGTTTCCAAAAAGACTGGTATAAAATACAACAGTGATGAAATAAGTTTTTACTTAAAAATATTTTCATTCCAAATTACTATTGAGAAATATAAGGACATCCATGACCTGACCTTTATTAATCTCAGTAGTCTTATTTTCTTTTCATAAATTTTGATTTCAAATTTTCATCCACATTCTTAGGATGGAGTTCTAGCAAAAGAAATGACTTGTATTTTTACTGATATATCTTACGTTGGTTACTCCACTAACGCCAGTTCCCAGTATGATTGTATCCTCAATAACTTTCATATTCAAAGTTGTTGTTGCTGTTGTTATGTACCTTCAAGTCAATGATGACTCTTAGTGGCCCTATGAACAATATTTACAAAATTTCCCTGTCTTGAGCCAACTGTACGGATTCTGACACACCTGGCCCCACTTGCCAGTTACTGTGTCAGTCTATCTTATCTACAGTCTTCCTATCATGTGCTAAACTTTCCCCCTACCAAACCGGACGTCTTCAAAGTCTGGCCCCTCCTGACCAACTGTTCAAAGTAAGTGACAAAGATTGCCTCCAAGGAGCAACCTGATTTCACCCTCTCCTGAACAGGTTTGTTCTTTCAGAAATCCATAGTATGTTCAGTACTATATGCCAGCACATCAACTCAAAGGCATTAATTCATATGCCATACTTAGCCATTATCCATCTCTCATATGCATTGCAAACTGAACAGTCCATGTTCTGGCAGGCACACTCTAGTCTTCAGACTGATATCTTTGCTCTTTAGCACTTCGGAGAGGTCCTTGACAGCAGACTTTCCCCAATGCAGCTTGTTTTTTAATTTTTCTGACTGCTGTTGCCAAGAGTGCTGATTGCAGATCTGAGCAAATGAAATTGTTAAAACTTGAATCTTCCCTCCATCTATTGTGATGTTGCCATTGCCCTGGTGGTGAGGATATTTGTTTACCTGACATTGAGATGAAATTCATATTGAAGATTACAAGCCTTGATTTTTTTTGTAACAAGTTCTTCAAGTCCTCCCCAGTTTTGGTAAACAAGGTTGTGTCATCTGATTAGCGCAAGCTGTTGATGAGTCATATTCCAATTCTGATGCCACATTCTTCTTCAAAGTCCAGCCTTCAGAATGATCTACTTAGCATATGAATCGAAAAGGTATGGAGAAAGGGTACACTCTTGATGCAGTGCTTTCTTTATTTTAAACCATGTAGTGTTCTCTTGTTCTGTTTGTTTAAGCGCTTCTTTGTTTATGGGAAAAGAGAGTGGGGTGGAGCTCCCCTATTAAAACAAGCTTGGAAGGAGGAGTGGCATCCACTTCTATAATAGCTTGCCTCCGGAAAACCTATGAACCTGGAGAGAGGATGAAAGGCACCCAAGCATCGAGGACTCTCCTTCATAGGGTTGCTATGTCGCCTGCACTCGACTGCACTTAACAACAATAATATCAACACAGAGAGAGATCAGTTGGCCCAATGAACAGAAAGTGATGCTACCAAGCCAAAGGTGGGTGGCTTTTAATCTGTGGTCCTCGGGCCTGTCTTTCATTGTTTTTGTTCAGACATTCTTTTAGGTCATATTGCCCTGGTTTACAAGTTGCCGTATCTCGGTCACTTTTGGTTGCTGTGAGGCTGTGACACTGATGTGTCAAATGCGCTAATGGTTGGCTACCCAATGCAGACAGAGAGTGGGGTGGAGCTCCCCGATTTAAACAAGCATGGAAGGAGGAGTGGCATCCACTTCCATAATAGCTTGGCTTCGGAAACTCTATGAACCTGGAGAGAGGATAAAAAAACACCCAAGCATCGAGAACTCTTCTTCATAGGATCGCTATGAGTCACCTGAGACTCAGTGGCACTTAACAAGTGTTCCCTTGTTCTGTTTGCTTAAGTGCTTCTTTGTTTAGGTACAGGTTTCTCATGAGAGTACAATCAAGTGTTCTGAGATTCTCATTCTTCTTAATGCTAGCCACAATCTGCTGTGAAACATTTGAAAATAATTCCTTCTAAGAGGCATCAGTAGGATTAGTATCACTCAATGAAGTAATTAATGGTGTCACATCTCTACACCTCCCACAGAATTCTGGGTCATGCTTATGATAAATTGCAATCATAGAATAATAAGAGAGAAATATATTTTTAAATTTAAGTATAATATTTCTTATATGAAAGGTAGTTAGAAATTTTTTCTGTAAATTTTATTTACATCGAACTTCAACATCATTAGATAAAACATCATAAATAAATTGGCAGATGCCTTTTTAAAAAAATAAACTTTTTTAACTGCTATTTCATCTTCAGAATGTTTATTGATATAAGTTCTCAAACAGCATAAAAAATATTCTACCTAAAAAACACAAAAAAAGACAAAATAAGCAACAATAAAAACAGTAGAAGCAATGGAAAAAACAGTACAAACTTGTAGTTGATGTAAATAAAAGCATGTGGCTTGAAGCATCACTACAATTTAGTAATGACAGCTCTGCCATGTGTGAATTCTCTTTCATTGTCATCTAGTCATAATGTAAGTATAGCTGACCCTCCACTGGGTTTCTGAGACTTTAAATCACACAAAAGGAGATTGCTCATCTGCATCCCTGTATCTCATACTCCTTAGTTCTTACCTCTGGAGCTGCTGGTGAATTCAAACTACCAGAGGCACTGCCTTTCCTCTGTAGTTCATACTCCCTATGGGCTATATCACCAGAGCTCCCTGCTCCCTAGAATTTTAATCATGCAAATAGTTAAGCTTGGTGAATAAAAATTTTAAAAAAAAATAAATTAAAAAGTTCTGGTTTTTAAGTACAGAGATTTTTATTGTTGAAACACACACACACACACACTATTTCTGTTAAATCACAGCACAAAGTAATTTTTGTGTCATTCCCTGACAGTGTTTTCAGGGGTATAAACACCTTCATTATTTCCATGATAATGCCACTGTTCATTTCTCAGTGTTAATTTTGTAAGATTTAGAAAACCTATAATTATTGGAACTACCAAGCCAGAAATCTAACAAAGGCATAGAAACCACAGTCTTACCTATCTTTGTTAATTTTGGTAAATCCAGAAGTTTTCTTAACAATATAAAAGCTGATGGTTCCTCAATCTATGCATAAATAGGCCTTGGAGAAACTAGAATTTTCTCTACATTGAGTAACTGGACAATGGAATAGGCTCAAAAGCTGAAAATGATCACTTAACTTCCTATTGACTTTATCTTTATTACCTTCTTCCTAGTGAGAAAGGTAATTACATACTTGCCAACTTTAGTTTAAAGAAAACTGCTTTCTCTATCTAAAAATCAGCAACTGGTTTTAGAATTGTCTCAGGCAGGGATTTTTTTTTATTCCATTTACTAGACACTCCTGTCAAGCCTCCATTTTCAATACATTCTCAATTAATGAAGAAAATTGTGTGATCTAAACTTCTGAGGTATATCCTTTCAATAAAAATATTTTTAAATAATACTGTCAAATTATTGACACTTCAATATTAAATCATCATAATTACAATAATCTTTTAAAAAGGAGACCATTTTGGAAGATAAATATTCAACTACATTTCTCAAATGGCTTGATTTTCATTATAAGAAACAAATCTGAGCCAAGGAAAATACAGAATATTTAATTCTACACAGTGAGCTTTAGTGGTTTAATGGTAATGGGCTGCACTGCCAACCAAAAAGCATGTGGTTCAAATCCATCAGTTGCTTTGTGGGAGAAAAATGGGCAATCTTCTCCCATGCAACTTATTAACACTGAAAATCCACTGGCGGGTCATTTATGAGTCTGCTTTTACTCCATGGTATAACAAAAACAATAGTACCAGACAATATACTAACTTGCTATTATTTCACTTTCAGATAATAATATAATGCCCTAAAAAGGGCAACAGGGATCAATTTCCTTCTTTGTTGCTTATAAGAAAAATTATTAATTTTTGATACATGTTCAAAAAAGCAAACTAAATTTGTATGTTAAATATTGAGTAGAATTTGGTAATCTCTCACAGATCATGAAATAGGAGAAATTCTTATCCTTAAATGGAAGCTGCCACTAACATTTATTTAGAATTTTCATAAATTAAAATAAGTAATAAACTACTTAATTGGTATGTTAGATGGGATAAACATAATAGCTAAAACATATTTAACTGGTGTTTGTGGCCAACCCCCTTATTTTATACTTTTTTTAAAAGTCAGAAAATTTCAACCATTTCCCTCAGTTTGTATAATTGATTAGAAGAACTAAAACTGAAAACATTTGAAATTTTTAAATCTTTTCTCTTTGTATTTACTTGCATGTGATATTAATAATGTTGCTGAGTTATTTGTATTGTCAAATTAGGACCGATCCAAACCTGATCCTTCATTGGGTTTTCAGAGAAAATTACATGAAAGGATATTATAATTTTTTTCCCCCACAGAGCAGCTAGTTCAAAGTTTGCGTCATGCACCTTTGCATGGCAGTGCAGTTCCTTTACCACTAAGCCACCAGAGACAACTGACATTAATAATTGTATTTGACAATTCCTGCATTCTATTGGGTTACATTTCTTTCAAATTGTTACATAATGTGGCTCTCTTCCAGCTGAACTTCCAAGTAGCTCCCTTCCAAATTTCTTGGCATAGATGAGTGAGCTCTTTCAAAGTTGTACTCTCTTTCTGGGATCTCAGCTGGTAGTCCATCAATTCTTGAAGCCTTATTTGAGACCAAAACCTTCCATGCAGCTTGGACTTTTTCATTCAATGCTGTCAGTTATTGATCATATGTTCCACCTGCATGCTTGAGTGTTGAGCAAGTCTTGATATACTGACTGTGTATTCCTTACATTTTTGTATGCTTTCTATAGTGCTCAATATTTTATACACAAAATCCTTCACTATTATAAGTTGAGGCTTGTATTTTATTTTTGTTCAGTTCATTCATCTTTAGAAATGTCAACTATGTTCTTTCCTTTTTGTTTTTCTTAACTCAGAGTTCTGCATATTTTAATACTTTTTTCTTCTCCAGCCACTTTAAAAAAATCTGTGTTCAGCCCTTCCTCACTCCCTTCATTTTCTTTAATGATTCTACATTCAAATGTGAATTTCAAGAATGAAAGATTTTTATTTATTTTTTTTAAAGAGCAAAGCAAACTGAGGGGCAGGGGATGTAAGGAGGAAAATGTGCAGCAAATAATGAATGCATGGAAATCTAAGTTCTCTGTAACCTTTAATTAAAAATCTCAATACAAATGTTAAAAGAAAATGGAAAAAAAAACCTAAAAGTGAGTTTCAGAATCTCTTCTAATTTCCACTTTGTTCTTTTGTCTTTCTACATCATAGCAGCATACACACAAACTGACAAGAAGGACAGGGAAGTGAGAAGTGGCTGTAAGTAACATTACACAGTTGATGAAATCTATAAACACTATGTAACATAAATGTTGCTTGCTTCTTTTTAGAAACAGAGTAAGAATTAATCTAGTACTATTTTTGACAATTCTGTTCTCTTTGGTTTTCCCATAATTTTAAAAGTACTTGGAGGCCTCCTCTCAGACTGGTTTTTTTTTTGTTTGTTTTTATTTTTAGTTTAGGTGAATCTGTTGTTCTTTACCCAACTCTAACTAAATGGTAAATTACTCTCTAAAGTATACCATATTGATATATAGTATAAAGTAGATATTTTACCTACCAGTGCTAGGTTTTTATCTCTAGTTCCCTCTTATTAATTTAATTTCTGTAAAACATCACTTAGGACAACTTCACAACTTTGTTGATTTTGGGTATTTCTACACTTTGTGCTTTGTAGTATAATTCTGGGGATTTGGGTAGAGGAACAAAGTGAATAAATATTTGTCTGGTATCCATACATCTATATATAATTCACTCCATTCTAGCAAATTCATTCACAAGGTAATTCTAATACTAAAAATGTCAAATTCATGAAAATAAAACCCAAACAAGCAGCTAATATAAGATTAATTCTGTTTATGATATATCCTCACTTCTCTTTTATGATTCAGTTTAAACTCCTATATAGGATACTATTTAAAACTAAAGTCCAGGAACTGTAATATGAAATTAATCTAGTGTGGTGTATAGTTATCACTCAGTGTATCTGACAAATAATTATCTGTTAAAATTTTTAAATTTTAGTTACAAAAGATGTATAGTAAATGAAGATAACAAAGATTTTTACCTTTTCCCCTTTAGAGCCTTTGAGACCTCTGACACCATCTGCCCCCTAAAATAAAGTATTAAAAGAAAGAATAGAGGATAACATCACTATCTGTTCACCTTGGCATTAATTTTTTAATGGTGACAAAATAAATTAACATTTACCTTTACTCCTCGAGGACCTGGGTAACCAATAGGACCCTGTGGACCTGGAGGACCCTGAAAAAGACCCATAGTTGTTTAAATACATAAATCACTGAAATGTTACTTATTTACATATTATAAACTTATTCAATAAACAAAACTATCTCATACAGTTTTACCACTGCTATTTGGCTAAAGACTTATTGAGTAGTTTATCATTTTTTCCATTTATTTGTAAATAAAATATCTGATCAGAATTGTCCATGTAAATTTATATATCCTTGCTAAAAATAAGATATCTTAAATGAGACAACAAAGAAAATATTATAACTAAATACAGTGGAAAACAAATGTAATATAAACAACTCAATGCCTATGATAGATAATCATCAGTCAATTAATATGTTTCAATATTATTTTTAGAAACCTGTAAAAAATTTCAGCAATCACAAAGTGATTATTAGTAATATGATCATAGTTATATATAATTCACATATGATTTTATTTCAGAGTCTACATAAAGTAATAAATATATATAATTTTTTCTAGAGTACTATTGGAAATTTCAACAGTATTTTAGTAAATATGTAAAAATAGAAGCTACAAATAAAATAATCATATTCTATTACTTCAATGGAAAATAATATTAACATTGTAGAATATTTTCTTTCCATTATTTCAGATATACTGAGAATTATTACTCTTAAATATATATTTCTTTATGTTTCTTAAAGTAGTAAATGAAGATAAAACTCGAGTATGACACTCAATGATAATTATCTAATTCCACCGTTTTAATGTAGGGTTGCTTATTCCACAAACAGAACATATACAGAATGAATCTAACCTTGACCACGAGAATATTAAAACAAAACAAACAAACCCAAGCCCACAAACATACATAGAAGAAATTCTAATTTATAAAAATGGTTATGCAAAATTTGAAGTTATTACTTGAAAAACTCTTGTCTTTTATAACCAAGGAAAAAACTGTAAGGGCACTTAATCTTTGAATGTTATACAAATAACAAAATAAATATTTAAAATATTTTACAATATTTATTTCCTAATCCTCATGCTAAATAATCTTTGAAGAATATAAAGATTACTAAATTATTGGCTGTGGGTCATAAACTATTAGCACTCATAAATAAATATATTTTTACATACCAAAGCACCCTTTTCTCCAGACTGGCCTTCTTTTCCTGGGTGACCCTATGTTTAGCAAAAATGCATGGTTGGATACAAAATTAATCACATAGTTCATAACACTCTTAATAGCTACACAATATCTTTCCCTTTATGTTTTATTTTAGTGGGATTTCTTTTTTCAATCAGTGTATATATCTATAACTAACACTGAAAGTTTATATATGTACATTCTGTAGGTGGAAATATAAACTTAAATGTGATATTATACATTTATCAAATATTATGTATCTTAGTAGAAGAAAGTAAATCAATATGTATTGATATTCACTAGAAAAGCAGCTTAAGCATCAAAAGGGAGCTTTGGTGGCTTAATGTAAAGAAGCTGCCCTGCAATCACAAAGGTAAGCAGTTCGTGTCCACCAGTTGCTCTGCAGGAGAAGGACGGGCAATCTCTTCCTATGTGATTAATTGCCTCTGAAAACCTGCTGGAGTGTCAGCTAACAGGTCAGTTCTGACTCTATGGTACACAACTATAAGCATCAAATAGGGTCGGATACGAGAGCACTGCCTTTATATCTAAGAGTAAAGAAAAATTATAAATAATAATGTTAATATTAAAATTCTTGATATACAGAAACTATAAATAAAATAATAAAAGTAACATAAATACACTCAATAACAAGTAGAATCAGAATGATAATTTTTTTTATCCTGGCCCCAGAGTATCTGGTGACGATAACTCAATAGTGTGAAACTTTGCATGGACTAAAAGAACCCCATGTTGGTGGGGAAAAAATAGACAATATTGAAGTGCCTTCTCTGAATAGAAAAAACATAGGAAAGGCACAGAGAAGGAAAAATTTAGAGTGTTGAGAGAAAGGTGAGATCTCTTTGCTGGTTACTCATGAGGAAATAGGAAAATATGAGATGGGTTTATCCAGAGGTCACAGTAAGCTCATTAAAGGTTTTGCAATACTGAAGTGACAAGAGAAATGGAGTTTTACAGAGATCAATGCTCTATTACTGGTTAAATTTGCTTTTATTAGTGACTTCAAATAGTCATTTCTAAAACACATGTAAAATTGATTTTTTTCAAGATATGATAGAGAAATTTAAATTATCAAGTAATTGTTACTTACAGGAGGCCCATCTGCACCAGGAAGTCCAGCAAGCCCTGGTTTTCCTTGAGGTCCCTAATCATATATAAAAAAGAGAATATTTTATATAGTCAGAAACATTTTAGATAGTTTGAAAAAGTAAAATCTGACTATCTATAGTGATACCAGTTTCCATACACAGGGTTTTTGAATGCCTGTTATTTTGAAAGTGAATGGACAATACTTCTCCTTAGTATGTCTTAATGTGGATGCTCATCTTTGGAACAAGATCTGACAAACAAGATCCCTGATGAGAAGAACTAACACAGTAACTGGGATAATGATGGAGATAGACTGGTTCACGTAGGGTTCAGAGTTATTGTACATAGGGTTGCTATGAGTTGCAGGTGACTTAATGGTACATAACAACAAGAACAAAATATGAATATACAGCTAATGAAATACTTAATGAGTGATCTTAAAAAGTTTTATAACTTAATAACTTTTTAAGATTATTCCTTAAATAAATAATAAACATAAAATCAACTTTAACTGATACAAAACATATCAGTCCATGACCAATTTGTGTATTAGTAATTTAGTGTTTGAATACCACAATAAGCTGCAACTTAATAAAAAAGGATAAAATTGTAGGACATACTGACTTTCCATCAATAATAGCAAACAACTAAGCCCATCACCATCGAGTCTGAACCAACTCATAGCTGACGCTGCAGTGAGCTTTCAGAGGCTGTGAATTGCAACAGAGGAAAATGCTCAACTCTGCCCCCAGAATCACTATTGAGTAAATCTAAACAAAAGAAAGATACCACTTATGGATGAGCAGCGTAACTCCCTAAAGAGGATGTCATCAGTTATCGACAGGTGAAAACGTAATGAAATATTGTATAAATGACACTGATGAAATGTTTAAGTTATGAAAATATTTTTTTCTATAATTATATTTTATTAATTTTCATAAACATTTACAGAGATTTTGGGTTTCCATTCATTCATTGTTGCACTATTCTCTCTACCCTCCTCCTAGTTTGTTCTTGTCCAAATGCCACAGTGCTTGTCAAAGCCAGTTCTGATTAATCTTCTTTGTCAGTGTGTCCTTTGCCATTCCCTATCACTCCTCCCTGAGAGAGACTTCACCCTGAGTCATAAGGAAAAGGGGATGGCGTATTCTCTTAGCTACTTCCTGCTGAAAAGGGACGCAGTGGGTTTCAGGGTGAAGATCTTCTCTCACTACTCTAAAGGGCCCCTAAACAAGTTGTATTGTGACAAAGTGAATGACAAGAAAGGAATCTATTTATTGCCTTGCAGTATAAAAGAGCAAAATCTAATTTGAAACTATTAAATAATGACAAAATACCAAGTTACTGAATATATTACTTGAACCCATGAAGAATTACAGAAGATTTAGAATCCTTTTCTATTTTAGCATTGCTAAGTCTGAAATATGATAAAAATCACTATTTCAAAGAGCAAGCTTTTAGCAGGGGAGAAGAAAAAAATCAATCTACTGAGAATAAAGAATGGAATAGCTTCAGAGAATATATTATTATTGTCTATTGATCCACTAGTTATCCAGGACTTAGGAACAAATTTTCAAAAAGGACCATTCAACAGATTTGCACATGACATAGTTTAGGATTTTTCCATTTCCAAGCATACTTAGGATAAACATTGACTAATAATTTATGATCTTCCAGATTTTTAAGAAAGCCTCATTTAAATGACTTTTGTTTTATATTGAACTGTTTATATTTTATAACTGATGTGATTTGTATCTCAATTATAGGACTTAAAAGTTTGCATCCTCTTCACTACTCTAAAAAGTTATTATATAAGTAAATGAACATTATACAAGAACTATTATAAAATGCTAAAAGACTTTTTGGCCATTATTTGTCTTCCATTTAGAAGACTTCTTGCTCTTAGAGGAGTACTCTTACTTCTTTGAAACAAAATAGACAACATGAAAAAAGAACTACTCCAATATTTTTATTGTCAGTTGATGTAATTCTTACATAGCAATGACTTTACTATGACTTTTACAATGGCTTTATAGAATACTAAATAGCAGAGAAACATTAAAACCAGATGAATTCTCAAATCAAATAAAAATAAATCCTCCTCTTTCAGCATGAAGAATCTACAAGGGCAGACATTTTCTTAATTCTCTGATATTTTCTCAAGTCAGATGTAAATTTGAATGAAGAAATGTTATAATATTTAAATGTGAGTAAATTAAACACCAGATTAGCTGCTGTGAAAGTGATCACACTCATGGTATAATCATATATATCAGAATAGAACTGTGCTCCATAGGCTTTTCAAAATGTGACTTTTTCTTTTTTTAAACTGTGACTCTTTAGAAACAAAACACCAAGCCTTTCTTCTGAAATATTTCTTGTTATTATTTTGAGGTGCAATCAAGTCGAGTACAACTCACAGCAATCCTATGAATGCCAACCTAAATCCTGCCCAATTCTGTATCATCCTTATTATCTATGACACGATGGAGCCCATAGCTGAAGTCATGGTATTAAACTAGCTTGTTGAGGGTCTTCCTCTCATCTACTCACCCTTCATCTTTCCAAGCATCATGTTCTTTTCCAATGAATACCCTCACTTAGCTACAAGTCCAAACAATGAAAGATGAAGGTTCAGAATCTTTGCTTAAAAGGACCACTATATCTACACCTTTTCCAAGACATATATGTCTGTTCTTTTGGCAGTTTGTTAGATGCTCGGTACTCTTCTCCAGCACCAAATCTCAAAGACATTAAATCTTCTTCTGTCATCCTTATTCACTGTCCAGCTCTCTGATTTATAGTAGAAGATTGATAAAAATCATGGCCTGAATCACATGCACCTGAGACTTCAAACTGCTATCATTACATGTCAGCACTTTGGAAAGATCTCGGATAGCAGACTTAACCAACGTATTTCCTGATTTTCTACCTGCTGGTACCAAGGGTGCTGATAGTTGATCGAAGATTAAATAATTGACAGCCTCAATCCTTTCTCCATCTATCATAGTGTTGGCTGTTGGCCCTGTGGGGAGGATCTTTGCTTTCTTGATGTTGAAATATAAACCATACCAAAGGCTATGCTCTTTGTTTTTCTGCATCAAGGGTTTCATATCCAACTCACTTCCAGCAAGCAAAGTTTTGCCATAACACAGGTTATTTTGCTTGTTTGTTTTTCCTACTAGTTTATTTACAAAATTTAAAAACAAATTTGAACAAATTGTTTCAATTTCCCTCACCCCCC